GAGAGAGAGAGAGAGAGAGAGAGAGAGAGAGAGAGAGAGAGAGAGAGAGAGAGAGAGAGAGAGAGAGAGCGACCATACCTGAGAGAGCTTCCTGGCGGCCATAGCTTCCCCTCTTTCACAAAGACATTCTGTGTAACTGGGTTGATTGGCGGATGCGACCTTCGAGTTACGCCTCACTTGTGCTTCTTGGTGTGTGTGTGTGTGTGTGTGCCATCTTGCATGAGTGCATGGTGTGAAAGTGTCATGCTTGGTCGGTCGCAATGCATGTGTAGACCATTCAGCCACAGGGGCTGTTGTGTTTCTGAAACTTTATTTCGGTTTGCTGTTGTTACTCATTTGCTTTGCTTTAACTGGGTTGATTTCTCATTTGCTTTATTTTGCTTTGCTCACGATTGTCATCTCATGGTGGTGGTGTTCTTCATCCGTCTCCCTGTGCAAACACCATAATCATGATCAACTTCTTTGTGCTTTCAGCATTCGCACACTTACAAGGCTTACATGTCAGGTCCTCTGATAGTCATCTTGTAGCGCTGGTGGTCTTCGCTCTCCCTGTCCAAATACCATATAATCATGCAGCTTCTTTGTGCTTTTGAGCTTTCTCACACTGAGAAGGCTTACATGTCAGGTCCTGGCATGAGCCACAAAATGCGCCAAGCAGCTTCTGCATGCCCTGGCGGTCCCCTTCCCTGCTCCCTTTGGAAGATGATAAGCCCTTTGAAAGTCCTGGCAAGATGCATTCCGGGTCTATCAGAACCCGTTATGTCCTGGGTCTGGCTGACATGGCCCAAAAATGGGCCCAGCATCACCTGCCGCTTGGCCTTGCACTCTGGCCTCGACTCTATAGCCCTGACATGTCAAGGATTGCCATGTGGTTCTGTGCTACTTTTACAAGACTGTCTTCTTTTTTTCATGTGCCTTTTTTTCATGTTAAAGGGGAGACCCCGCTCGTCAGCCCTTTCTGAATTACTGGTGAATCAGTTCATGCTGTCCTATCTTGTTTATCTGCTGTTTGGCGGCATATGAGAGGAGCTCTGCGAAACCATGATGAATGGTTCCGTTGTCACGGAGTACAAACCCATATAGCTTATGGGGTTTCTGTCTGTGTGCATGTGTGTGGCTTGTGCAGAGTCCGGGTACGGCTCCCTGCATATTCACACCAACACCACTTTCTGTCCGTGCGATTGTGAATCTTGCTGTCACTGAACTATCTGCATGTAGAATGGCTGCAGCAACGAGTTTGCAGAAGCGCGAGTGTGAGACCGCCCTGCCGCTTTTCTGTTCAGAAGGTGTGGAGGAGAAGGAGCCATCTCTTCCAAGAAGCACAACGAAGTCAACGACAATGACAAAGCTAGGAAAGGATCATTTGGACCGAAGCAGCAGATGCCTTCGGGTGCTGATCATTGCATGCAGAGTGAGCTCAGATGTGCTACTGTCTATCGTGGAGTACCTGTACGTCTCTGGCCTTCTCCCCCCTCTCCCTCTTCCTTCCCTGCCCCTCACTGGCATCTTCCCCCCCCCCCCCCCCCCCTCTCTCTCTCTCTCTCTCTCTCTCCCTCTCTCTCTCTCTCTCTCTCTCTCTCTCTCTC